TATTTTAGTGAGCGCACTGAATTGGCATCCGTTTATATTTTGACAGCACCTACTTCCAAGTGTTAAAAAATGTTACATCAGTACACAGCATCACCGTTATAATTGCATGTCAGTGCAGTTTTATTAATGTTTTACGGCTTTGAAATAAGTTACACGTAGTTTAGGCCAGATATATAATAAATAAAAATGTCTTAAGGATTTAGTTCATGAAATTAAAATTTACTTATGTTACGGAAATAGATTTGAAGTATCAACCAATTATTATATCCCAAAAATTATTATTAAAAACAAATATATTATTATTATTATTAAAAAGACCATTTTACATTAAACTTTAATCCTAATTTTATATATATAATTACATAACATTTAAATTTTAAAATGAATTTAATCTTGCATCTGATGCACATGTCTCTTCTTAACTTTAAGTAAAACCTCCAAAACCAAAAAGAAAACCAGAACAACAAACAACAAACGAATCGTTACTAGTAACAAAATAGCACACAAACCATTACTAGTAATTATTGTTCAAAAATACATTTTATAGATAAAAGTAACAAAGAAGATGATGATTAGAAAAGATTCTTTTCCGATTTTCTCACAACAGCACTATTTTAGGACTTAATGTTTTCGGAGAAGTTTCTGAACGTAACCACTCATTAGCAAATTTTCAAATCCAGCATCAAATTACAGAACTGTAGCCTGAGCTAACTTAACGGATTATTGGAATAAAATTTGTAAAACCTAACTGGATACGAAAGTAAGCCATTATCGATAACAGCGTTTTCCATCAGTGTAACAAAGTAATATGAAAAAAAAATGGATTTCCTCAAGGAAAAACTTAAAAATACAGCTCAACGAGAATATTAAACATCCAGCATACTATGACCCAGCAAAGCATATATTTAGCTTTGCCTCAAATATGCAATGTAATAATATGCAATGTAATAATATCAAATATGCCTCAAATACGCATTTGCATGTATTATGAAACTTTTAAACATAATCGCATGAATGATTGAGAAACGATAAATGACTTCAAGTAATGGATGGATGACTTTAAAATGAAGTAAGCGAAATAGAAACTTAAAAGGATGAAAAATGATGTAAAATATAGGTTTCGTCTATATAATGATACTGGACAGGAATATATCATAGTTCACTAAAGTGGAAAAGTTATTCCAGATGAATTTTCTTTCATAACTATCTCTGCTTGAAAAACCCGAGATACAAATTTAGAGCTTTTCGGATTATTCTAAACCTTTACTTGTAAAGTAAATTATCAGTTCTTTTTTAAATCTTGTTTGAAGAAATGTTAGCTAACATAACGAGAAAACCTTGAAAATGTATAGTACTACAAGTGCGTTTAAAAGTCGTCAAGATCGTTCTGCTGCTCTTAATACCTAGTTCGTAACAGATTTGTTTGATTTCAATATTTGTTTTATTCACTACTCCTTTTCTTTACTAAATCTACCCTACCTTGGCATTTCTTATTTCAAACTAATTTTATTCACTCTGCTCAAATCCTTAAGAAGGACGAAAATATCTCTTTTATAACAGTATTAATTATGTTACTTAAACGCAAAAATTTACGTTTAAGTAACATAATTTATACCCAATTAAATGATTATTAGTGAATTAAAAATATATTTATTTTAAATAGAAGTATTTATTAAGTCATTAAAAGCATGTTTTGCTATAGTACAAAGCATGGCTTCAGGATAAATGGTACGATTTTAAATGCCTTTTATAGAACAAGGAATTCCGAGATCCGAACAAAGCCGATATTTGGACGCATCCAGTTCTTTTCGGCTTCAGATAACCATAAACTTATTTAAACACCTCGCAATGAAAGGCCATAATGATCTTCTTGATACCATCAATTGTTTCACTACAGTAAGGATAGCACTAACTGTTCCCAGAGTAACTGAAGTTACTGATTTACTAATGCGGGCTTGTATGTCACGATCCCGGAAAACCACGAATAATCAACCACGAATGCGAACTTCCACAACGGCTTTAAAGAAACTAAAGTTTTAATCAGAGCTTAAATTGCCGGTACTTCTTAGTTTTAGGATAGATCATAGTTCTAGCCAGAGCGGCACCTGAGCCCTAAATAAGAAGGCTGCGGCACTCGTTTTATGTAACTGAGTAACAATTTCAATAGAAATTTGATCTCGAAATTTTCATTTTTAGTACTAAAATATTAAAAATTGCTTATTTAATTTTATCTCTTCTCATTTTATTAAATTTTAATTATTTAATTTCTTTCTTTCTTTAATTATTTTAATGATTAATTATTAGTGATTTTATTCATTTTATTCTTGTTTCTCTTTCCTAACGATATTCCGTAGGGCTCTGGCACTTTAGAAATTAAGCCCTGGTTTTTAATAATAATAGCCTGGCGGTTTTATTCGAATTTATTGGAAAAAATAATGAATTCTAAAAATATCTAGCCTCGTTGCATATTCGAAAGATATTTATCAGGAAAATAGGGTGACTTCGATGATAGTTACATTCATAGACCTTTCTTCACAGAACGTATTTTAGAATTACCAAACGAGGCGCTGCGAAAGTGAATAATAGCTAACCATTGCTCTCTCCACCCGTACTCCTCCAAAGAAAATCTGTGACATGTTAATAATGAGTTTCGATTTATGCCATGAAGAAAACATGAAACAATCCTTAACTAATAGAAAGAGAAGATAGCACGTGTAGTTCTTTCTATCTTACAAAAGCGAATGCGTATGAAATAAGCAATTTTTTTAATTTTAAAAGAACAATTAATTAATTAATTAATTTTAATTTTAAAAGAAACACAAGAAGTTCCCCATGTACCACATAGTATCACATGGGGCTTACAGAAGTAAGTATGAAACACAATACAAAATAAACAGAAGAGGAGAAAACTGAAACAAAATTGAGAAGAATTACAAAGTTTTACAATGAATTGACGAAAACTGTTTAAAGGCACTTCTCTCGGAAATAAGTTGGTAAAATTCTGGAGGCCAGTTAATATTAAAATTTTTCAGTCCCAGTTTCAACATTTTTCTTTCGATCTCATATTTAGGACATAGAAGAAGCACATGTTCAACATTCTCCTCTCCACGACGCTACAACCACAAACAGACTCTGGGCTCAATTTAAATCTGCTCAGATAACTTTTGAAATTTCCGTGGCCAGTAAGAAATTGGGTTAATTTATAGTTTGTGAAGAAGTGATGACATCACAATCTTATTTTGATGGAAGGGAAAAGTCTGTTAGTTAAGCTTCCTTTATTTGAGTTAATGAATTCTTGGTTCAAAGACTCCACAATACTTTCATACATGACCTTGGTGGCAGTCTTAGCAAGAAAATCAGCTCCTTCGTTCTGAACAACACCTGCATGACCAGAAACAAATGCAAATTCAACCGAAATATTTTTATCTTTTAGGCTTTTAAGGTCGTTTTTGAAACTCAATGATGATTATATTATTAGAGGAAGAAATGCATTTTAGGATCTCCAAGGATGATAAGGAAAATAAACAACCTTTCGACAGAAATTTCGTTAAAATGCGAAAAAAATATTCATTTTTAAAAACTACGTGTTTATGCAATAGTTAATCTGGCAGTCTGGAATGAAGTTGCATGGAAATATTTTATTGTGTGAGTTATTTTATTACCTCAACGAGCTGCTAATATCATCTTATTAACCGCAATGTTAAATTTAAAATTTATATTTCCTTGTTATTTGCTCTTAAGTAAAGACCACTGAATGACAAAAATTATCAACATAACATATCATATAACTCTATAGTGACGACAATAGTTAAATACAGTTGAATTTAGTAAAACATGCATAGACAAAATAAGATGGCAGCTGGAAGAATAGAATGGATGTAATAAATTAAATAAATTCATACTCATGAAATAGCTTAAAGTGTCACAATATTACATTGATAACAGAAGATTTTCTGCATTGTTCTCCTGATATTGCTTATTTTTATCCCTTAGAAAACCGAGGCCTTCGCTAATATGTATGCTTAAAAAAACCGTAACGTTTGTCCGCGTCCCTTCCCGTCTCATCCTTTTTCTCCTTTCTCCGTCCATTAACGTGCAAAGTTTTGTGAAGATTTCAAATGATGTTCTTTCTACCTCCTAACAAAAAAGCTTCTATTAGCCTTTTATGACAAACTGTCTGCAGTAAACTAATACAATGCATGTGGAGAAACTGCACCTGCTACTACTTTGAGGATGAAGAAAACAACATCGCAACCTCAGCCATTTCGGGCAATTGTGGTCGTTTGAATGAAGGCTGTCTCGGGCGTCTTGGCATTCAAAGGGTTAAGCTCAGCTGTAGTTTGATTGGGAAAATATTTATGATAATTCACTTTATCCTATGTAGTTTTCCGTAAAATTGTATATAGGACTTTGAAAAAAAATCATATAAATATACGGTTTACACATACTTCAACTTTTCTTCAAATATGTAAAACAGATCACTATTTTAGTTAATGTTATTAATTAATTACAAAAAATAAGGAAGTATTAAAATCAGTCAAATATAGTTTCATTTTTAAAATGTCAGGAATATTGACGTTTACGTAGCTAGATAAATTGGCAGAATACAATTTTTTGCAATATGAACGGTTCCGGATTCGGAACACCTTCGAAATAAAGGCTTCGCAATAATAGTTATTTTAATGTTTTAATATCCCGGTCATTAGAAATCTCAGATACCAAAGGAGTACAGTAGGAATGAAATTTAAAACACACGATTTATTGTTATTATCCTGAAAACTTGGAAATGGATTTATGATTATTATTCCAAAATCATTCTAAAAACGATTTGGACCGAATAGCGACTGTAAAATGCTTTTTAACTTCTTTGCATATTTTCATCATATATCCAAATTGTGCTTAAATTTAATCAATAGATATTTTGCTTCAGTGTTATATGTTACTGTTAAATGAATATTCACTTACATATTCTATGAGAAAATTTGTAATTCTGTTATCAGGTACCATTAGGATTCTTACCGCAAAGGATGTCTAGAGAGCAAAGGGTGATATAAGGAACCAAATCGAACGATTTGCTGCCCACTTCCTGCTTTAGCTTCTCGGCTAAAAAACGAGCGTGGTTGTCGATGACCGGTAAGAAGTCGTCCAGGATGCGGAAATGGAAGGCAGGGGTCAGGAGCTTCCTCCTCTTCTTCCATTTTATTCCAGAACTAGGTAAGGGAAGCAAAATAAAGAATAGTGAAATTTTATGAAATGCAAGTCAGTTTAATGTAAACGGTATATAAGATCATTTTCATTAGATCCACTCACGAATTTTCTAAAGAAAGTGAAACTGCAATTGTGTTGCAATCTACTTAAAGTATTGTTTACCTCAGGTTTTCTACTGCAGGCATATTAAAATTTCGCCTTTTATGTACAGTTGTTCCATTTTATCGATGAAAGGAACATAGTTAATATAATTATTAATTCTTTTAAAAAATATAAAGAGTAAAATGTACTTTAAATTTGAGCATGCTCACGAAATCTCGTTTCATTATTAGTTAAAAAAGGACGTTTCGTCAAAAAATAAATGAATAAAATTATAAAAATAAAAGAGAAAGGTCTCCAAGAATAGTGCTTTAAAGTAATCTTCAGAGTTTTTTCTTTAATCCAATTTTTAAAAATTAACAAACTAGCGACTGAACAGGTTAAGTACATGCATGGAGCACGAGAAAGGGGTGGGGGACTTAGCAAAGATGATACGTGTTTCAGCTTAGAAAAGTGTTTAAATTTGTCTAAAAATTACAAGAAAAGATGCTTAAAAATGCGCTGCAGTTAAGGTTTATTTAATTATGAAAGAGCACTCCAGGGCAATCTGCCTGAGGTAGAGATGCTTTTGTGGAGGACTTTCTAAGGAAAACGTGCTAGTATGCATCTTATACACGAAAAAAAGCACAAAAACGCCTAGTCCTGTTTCAGGGATTCGAATGCCCTTAAATTAACGAAATTTTATAGAGCTGACTAACTAGTTTAGTTAAGCTTATTTCTTAATTTTCATTATATTGTTTATTTCTCCCAAAGCATGCACATTTTAAGTGGAGTAACTTAACAAAGTATGAATCTGTGCTGAAAGGTGAGATAGAGGACAGATACCCACTTGTTACTTATAATAGCATTATCAACTTAAAGCTTAGGGCACACTAGTGGCCAGGAAAAGACACCGGCATCTCGAAGAGGTTTTAAAACACACGAATAGGTTGGCTGCATGGGTTTTATCCTCAAAGAATATCTCATTATAGTGAATATCAATTGACATTTGGGGTTCCGTAATCCATTTCTCCATTGCAGAAATATTTATACTTTATAATGATTCTAGGATGAAATTTATGTCTTGAAATATTGCTGCCTAAAATTTTAGATTCAATTTAAAATTTATAATTTGTTTTTGAAGTTTGTTTCTCGATTGTCATCGCTTCTGAGGAATTCACATTCAACATTATCTCTGTGCGAGTTGCTGTTGCAAAATTTGGGATTCTGTAGCAGAACAAGAGCTTCTAATTGCAAAGGTTAAAGATACTTAGAAAATCCAAATGATACCTCAGAAGCGTGCTAAACAATCTACACACTATTTACTGCAACTTCAGTTTTGGGAATCATGACACTTGTGAGACAGGACAATTTGTGTAGAATATGGGGGGGTGGGTATAATTCAAAGATTGAATACTTTATTTAGATGCTTAGAAAGATTTCACAGAAGTTGATAGAATAGTTATATTCATTTTTTTCATCAGCATTTTCCCTAAATGACAGCTTGCATCTGGTTGATATTATTCTGGATGCTATTAAATGTACATAAGTTAAGAGATCAGCACTAGTGTACGTACAGTGGGCAGAAACCTGAGTGATATCTGCAGTGCTATTTTACCGGTTTAAGGAAAAAAGATTCAGCATTCAAATTGTCATTTTTACAATTTACTATGTAGAGAGATTAGGTTTGTTTCGTAATAGGAGATATGAGAAAAGAGAAATTTCCTCGCCGGGACTCGAATTACTGACCTCTCGAGTGTGCTGACTACTACACCGCGAAGGCATGCTAAGAAGGCGAGAGAAATACCTTATATACTCCCCCCCTTTTAAAGGGCAACTGGGAATTAGGGGACCCATTTGCCACATCCTGGCGGCAAAGAATCATTATCCACCCCCTTTTTTTAGTTCGGGCGCCACTGTAGGTACATTAGGTTATTTGGAAGCAGAAGACATGAAAAACGTGCAATGCCCTCGCCGGGACTCGAATCTCGGACCTCTAGAATACGCGCCGAGTGTGCTGACCATTACACCACGAAGGCATGCTAAGAATGCGGGAGAAATACCTTATAACTATATCAAAAACTAGCTCAGCCTTCTGTTTTCTAATTGTTCAGGTAAAGTTGAAATCTATTATTCAATAATATGCTTGAATTAATAGAAAACGTTAATTGGGGATGTTACAGCTACGATTATAAACATTGCTTTATGAGTTTTTCTGCAACATTTGGCATTCACATCTTTGTTACTAAAAATATCACAATATTACAGCATTTCTTTTATTTCAAAATTCTCACTAACGGTTCCATGCAAATATTCTTACCCGTAGAGAAATACTATTTTCTCTTTCAGCAAAGAATTCTTTCTGTAGTAAGATCATCATAGCAATATTCTTAAAAATAATATTTATAAAATATCAATCAATTATCTCAATTATCCCAGAATCACTATGCTTCAACATCGCTTCATATCAGAATTTTAGAATTATATAACAGTAAGGATATCCATAATGATATTATTAATTAATTAATCGAAATTTTAAAGAAAATAAGCAGAATTTTTTTTAAAAAATTCAAAAGTCATAAAGAAAATATTCACATTAACAAATAAAATTATACTTATTAATAGATAATGCTCTAAACTCTTCTTCTACATCTTTGATTATAATGTAATTTCACAGACTTGTAGTATTGGGATTGTAATTTCATTAGCTAGAATGTTTCTTTGTACTTTTTCTAATGACTGAAAAAGTAGATTAAAAAAATGAATGTTTTGATGAAAATTAGTATAATTTAATATACGTTAAAAGAAATTTCTGAAAAATATATCATTTTTAAATGAAGGAAATATTCTGTTATTTGAAAAACCACATATATTTGTGAATGATCAAACGTATCAAATAACATTGTATCAGGTAGCACAGATTTTATGTGAAACTAGCTAATCGCTTCAATAGAGCAACAGCAGCAATTTCCTCTGTCGATGAAGGAAAGCTAATGCCAATACCAGTATGCACAGATTTTAGTTAGCTATCGGATCCAGAAACACAAGAAAAACTCGGAACATTTTTCAGAATCTTCGCAGATCAGTTTGGAAGATGGATTCGCATGTATAACATTTAACTTCCAAAGTGTTGCCTGAATGAGAAATCCAAAGTGTTGCCTGAATGAGATATTTAGGTCATTTAGTAAATCATAATTTGGAGTTCCATATCGGCTACTTACAAAAGACTCTAACGTAACTAAATAAAAAATAATTCTGGGAATTGCTGTTGTTAACTGTCAGTTACAAGAAATGTTTTTAATAAACTTAATGCACCTAACATTGCATTAACTTTGAATCTGTTAGAAGTAAGCGGATGTTTATCGTCGTTTAACATGGAAAGAAAACTATAAAAAGGGCATGTTGATGAAATCACATTTTTCTAAGCATTTTGAAATATGAAAAGCTATAGTAGCACGAAGATTGAAAGGTTAAAATGATTTTGGAATCGCCCTTCAGTTAAAACCAGACCTTATATGTCTATCATCCCAGTTTCAAATAACTTTCATTCAGTTTGAAAGAGTATGTTTGTATCAAATGAATTATATACTATTTCGAGTGAAGTAAGTTAAAATAAAATGGTTTTATCATATACTTTAATTTTTATGCTTAGCTTTATGATAACTGAAAATTCCTTATTCACCTGTGAAAATCAATTAATTTTATTTGATTTTTTCTGTGGGCATAATAAATATGTACGTAGTTCCAAATGGAAAATCATTACATTAAAAGGCTATATTTATAAAGTGCCTTACCTTGTTATGAGGCCTTGTTTGAACCAGGGAGCCAGAAAATCATACACGAAAGTTTTTTCTAGTAGTGCATTGCTACTGAGAACAACCTATAACAAATTTTTTAAAAAATATGTTAGGTTCAAAGATAATAAATAATATATCATGTAGGTAATATCAGAAAATAAAAATATAATAATTTAAATGATTAAATTAAAAATATATGGTTTTTACATTCAAATGTATTTTGGGAGGATTCTGTAACGCAGTTATAAATTTCAAATTAAAATTAGAACAGAAATGAATCACTATTCTCAAGAAGGAAATAAGAGGAAAAAATGAAAGGAGATAGAAAGAATTTTGTCTTTACTTATTTCCTTTGGTAGGATATGCAGGTCAATTGAAAGGCTGGGAATTTAACAATTCTTTAATACTTAAACGAGCTATGTTAGAGAGAAGGCTAAAGCATTTTTCGTCTTCTTCCAAAAAACGCTTCTTTTCGATTCCTTTCCTTTTTGAAAATAATCCTTTCAAGAAAGCAATCCTTTTAAAATTGCCCCATTAGAATATTGAACAAATAACGATTAATTATTAATAAAACAAATTACAATTTAATTATATATTTAGCACACAATTCACAAAATAAAAAACTGCTTGCATTATTTGGAAGAGCTACTCTTATAAAAATATGGGATAGAATAATCGATTCAGAAAACTTTCATGCATAGCGTTCTCTCAAAATCTTATGCGATTTAAGGCAAAAGCTTGTAAATTTTAACAAAAAAGGATGAGTGTACGCAATTATATCTTGCTTGTATTGTATGCAAGCAAGCCAATATAGTTCTGATATTATTTTAATTTCTCCTTTGAAAAAATTTAAGTGTAGATAATTTAATTAAAAATATATCAACCAGCTAAAAGATTCCCAAGTTAGATTCGATTTGGATTTAAAATGTTAAGCAATATTTATTTACTTTTTATTTATTTGTTTCAAATATTTGAAAAAGAAACTATTTTAACACCTCAAAAATTTTATAGGATGTACCAATATCTCTGCCCAAATAATACCTGGATAGCAGAATTAATTATCACATAAGTTTTTTTAATTATAAAGGTAATCTGATTGAGTAACCGTTATTTCTAGCCAAAATGATAAGACAATGAGCACAAAGTGGCATAGAGATTGTGAAGCAATCAAAATCATGTTATTAACTTAATTCCTAGAAATATGACATACTATTCATGTTCATTTAAAACAGACTATCCGTTTTAAAAATAGCTTCTTAATGTTTCTAACATAAAGTAATTATAATAATGAAACCGATTCAGAATAACTACCACAGTTGTCAAAATATTATTCTTCAAGTTCAATGAAGTTTTAACTTCTTAATTGTTTCTATTTTTAAGCGTAGCATCCTGGAGGACATAAAGACTCATCTGATAATTACAGTTGCTCCTAAGCTGGCCCTGATTTTTCTGCGTAAACTCTATTAAGTGTCACTTCACTTTTACCATATTATGTTACATAATACGAGGTCTTGCCCCCAATAATACAAGGTTTTGTATAGTCGCTCCATGCTGGGCATATTAATTTCACTTATTTTTGTATTTAAAGGACCTTTAAACTAGTTATTATATCAAAAACATATTTCTATTTGTAATAACATGGCTAATTAATTTGCCTTCATAATAACAATGGCAAGTTAGTTTACATTATAATCAACGCAGAAGCACTATAACGTTATAACCAGAGCTTAATTTTTAAAAGTAGGAGTGCTAGAGCCCTATGGAAAATCGTATAAGAAGACAAACAAAAATAAATAAATAATAAACTAATTTATAATTAAAATACTAAAAAATGTAATTAAAATCAATTAAATGTAGACACATTAGTAGAAATTTAATGACTATAGTTAGACTAATGATAAATAGTTAAATAATAGGAAACTAGATCGTATCTTATTTGGGATTCTGGAATTACTATTTCACTTGGAAGGAAATAGCGGAGCCAGGCTTCGGCTGACTTTAATTCCTGAATATGCGGTATAATGTACTATATCAAGGAATAATAAAAAAAAAAAAATCATTCGTCCTTTGCAGCAGCACACCAATACAAAATGGTAAGCGTCGCTAATGAAACGAGAGAGAATGCTAGATATAGTATGAGAAAATGGAAGGAAATTTCAATGGAGTAATTAAATATGAAAAGAAAGAGAGAAAATTAGAAAGGGAAACAAAGACAAGTACTGAAAAGTTATACATTTCTAAGTTAGACTTATTACTAAAATTAAATTTTATGCGATGAAACATTTTTTGTTGAAATCGTGGTTTCATTTCATAAAAGACGTGCTGAAACCCCTGTCATTTACGGCTTCGGCTATAAGATTTTCTTTAAAGACTGAGAAGTATCGGAGCCGAGTTCTGTTGGGTTCCAGTGTAATTTAAGCTCTGGTTATAGCGTATTAAATTGCTTCGTTCATTATGATGTTACAACATAACTTGTAAACCTTCATTAAAAAAATCTGCCTTTCCTTTCACAATAGCATGCCTTATGTACGTATAGAAACTATTACTTCTTATGCATATATATCAGTCACTCATTTTGTTTAAAGATTTAGAGTTTCACTAGTTCTGATGTGAAGAGATAGATGCATAAATAGAGTAATTAAATAAATGTCTGCTAATACTCAGAAGTTAACACTGTGCCTGCGATTATCTGTGTTCTTTAAGATGATCTGTGTTAGAAACTTTAATTATTTGATATAAACGAAGTAGTGTGAAATTTAATTAATGAGCTTGAAGCATTTTACATTAAAAACATTTAAGGAATATGTTTCGGTGACACTTGAATGGTGTTTTCCTGTTGACATTACGATATTAAATTTGGAATAACTGATGATGCATGAAGTTCAAGATCATTTTTATTATTATAAAAGATTAAAATGTATTAAAAAATTAAAAAAGTCAGAATTATAAATTGGTAAAGAATATCTCTTTTTATAACTTCTTTTTTAATTTAATTTTTTGAAAAGGAATTTGAGGATTTTTCCTCCTTTATCGGTGATAGTAAAGCGGATTTCCACGTTAATCGTATTAACCGAATGAAAACTATTTTCTCCAAGCTATATTTGACTAACTTTCCGCACATATCTTTAATACATATTTACATGAAGATTTCATTATGAAATCTAGATCTTGTACAGATATAGTTAAACCTAAATTCGTCGAAATAAATTTTGCGCAATGCAGTGAAAAAGGGATCAATTTGAATCAATAAGTCCTTGGTTATTTTAATTCAAAGTAACGATACTATGAAATTATGAATTTTTTTTTGAAAAATATTATATTTCATTTCATGCATTTTCTTCAACATGCATGTTATATTCTAGCAATTAAAATTTTATTTATATGTAATTATAGATTTGGTTTTGGCTTCTTGTTACTGCGTTTTCAGTATACTTCATCTGTTGCAGTAAATCAAATACACTGAATTACCAATGAATTAGAGATAGACATGGCTATGCAAACTGTGTAGCGCTAAGAGTACCATTGCTTAATGCATGCCATGAAGTTGCACGTCTTGCCTGGGCAAGAGAACACAGAGAATGAACTCTAGAGGACTGTAAACAAGTAGCATGGAATGATGAATCTCGTTTCCGAATGCTTAACAACGACGGGAGGCTGAGAATATAGCGTCAGGTTCATGAAGCCATAGATCCTGCATGTCAAGTGAGTTGCATTAGTCCATGGCGGCTCAGTTATGGTTTGAGGTGTTTTGTTGGCAGTGGTTGGTACTTGCATCAACCTCCCTCGGTATAATTCGGTACGTAAAGATGATTCGATACGTAAAGATGATCATCCTCAACCATATTTGTTGTCATGTCATTCACACGGAAATGGAGTATTCCAGCAAGATAACTGTAGTTCTCACAGGTCCTTGTTGGCTACTGCCTACTTGGATGAGCTGAGTTCTGAGTTCTGTCATGAAATTATTATCTAGAATCCCTGACTTATACCACTACTACCTACAGACCACTGTGGGAATGTTTTGGAGAAAGATGTGAAACCACATCACACAAAACTAGAGACCTTTCCTGAATTATGGACAGCTCTATCCGATATTTAGCAAGCCATTCCGGTAGAATGCTTCCTCAAACTTATTGAATCTATGCCTCTTCGTGGGGCAGCCATTATCAAGGCCAGAGGAGGTCCAACTCCTTATTGATTTCCTATCTCTAATTCAATGGCACTTCATTGTATAATTATTACTACTTTGAAATAGATAAACATTAATACATTTTTGATCGAACAGAGTTTTCCTGAGCATATAAATTTATAGGAGCTAAGTATAGGGTGATTTTGCTGTATTTAATAAAATGATAATCAAAGAAAGAATCCGTTGCATTTCAACGTAAAAATAGATTTTGTTAAAAATGAAATTTTATTTAACCATGTTACAATCATAATTAGTGAAACGATCCTTAAGAATATTATCGATCTACTGACAGATTTGGAATAAAATAAAGCGTTTTCTTAAGAAACGCCTGAAATCAATAAATAATCCTATGAAATCAGTTGTAACAGGCAGACTGACAGATATTTAGAAGGTGTAACACGAAGATTCTTTTAACCTTTCAGTTAAATTTAAGCCGATAATTGAGAAAATATTATTTCTCCTTCCGATGATGATCTATTTTATATTGCCTACTTATTTATCGGCCGAATAAGCATTGCTGTGAAACATGAGAAATTTTAGTTGGAGTTCTTTCCGATTGCAAAAGGGATGTTTGATTATTTCACCGTGTTTAATATAAGCAGTTGTCTGTAATACTCCACAAAGACATTTCTGTTTAAGGACAGATTCCGTGAGGGCTTTGTAACAAATTATTTACTTAAATATTTTAGGTAAAAATCACAAGTCTGTTCACAGAATAAAATATTTGTTCTTAAAACTGGGAACTATGTGCAGAGGAAACATTCTTCTTTTTTTAATTAAATTTATATATTTGTTACATTAACAGAAATCATCGCTTTAACGTTTTAACTTAGCTGTAACTTAAATACAATGAATATTTAAAGAAAACAGGAAAATTACTTTCACAAGAGTGTTTCCTAATTTTGTTTACTTCGAATTATATCAACATAGAATTGCTTAATAATATCAAAAATTAATTTATGCATTTTAATTAGATTGCGACTTTACTTACTTCAACTGTTTCTGGCTTGAAGAACAAAACAACAGGCTTTAGACCGAACCAAAATCTTAATAGCCTTTCTTTATCATATATGTGGGCTATGCCGCATAGTGCTTGGAAAGATACTGAAAGAGAAATGAGAGATGTATATACAGGATAGTGTAATAAGTAAATACAAAGACATTATCCTTTTTTTTAGATTGTATAAAATTTCACATATTAGAAATGAACACGCTATAAAGAATTCAGTAAATATATAACACAAAAAAATTCACTAAGTAATGGTTCGTTCTGGCGCATACGAATGATAATCGATTATAACTGTGATATAAGATTTTTAGTATATCACATATTAAGATTTTTTGGTCAGAATTAATACAGATGAGAAAAAGAAAAATTCAATATTTTTTTAATTTAATTCTAAAAGAAAAGTTCTGAAAACCAAGTAAGTTTCTAAACACAAGTTCGAAATTTCAGAAGTAAATTATGCTGTGCTTATTTTGCCATTGATACAACTTTAGCGCCAGCTATGCGTGCATTAGATGGTTCTTCCTATCGGAAGCTTCAGAGAAGTCGTGCATTTTTATGGGCTACTTTGGTTTCCTACAGTTATGTTTTTTAATTAAAATAAGTGAAATTTCTGCTAGATAAAAACTTATTTTATTTCTTGCTTTATATGCCAAAAGCAAGCGTACAAAAGAAGAAGGAAGAGATGGGTTATATTAATACGTGAGAGACGACTGTAGCAACGAAATTCAAATAATTTTAATGAGGAGATACACTTGAACGACATCAAAAGTTTCTAATTACATTCGCATGGCGCATCATCCATCTGAACAATAATTTTCATCAGAATATCTGAGAAAAGCACCGTTTGGAGGATAGAAAAAGAATATCCGAGAAAAAAATCATTGTATATATCTAATTTGTTTTACTTATGAATGATAATTAAAAGTTCTTAGTTGCATCTTTCGATTTCAAAGAGTAAGTTTTTCATAAATTAAGACACTATGAAATGTGTTTCATTATGTATGTAGTACTTTCCTTATAAAACTGGTTTTAATTAATGTAATAAAAAATTATATTTTCTTATAATGTATGTAGGATTTATAGGGTAACCCAACATCACACTTGAAATGAGAAAATAAAAAAATACATTAAAAATATATTCTGCCTTATGTATATATGTTTTACCTTTAAATGTCACTGTAGTTATTTCAATTAGTCATTCACATATTAATCAAAAGTTGCTGTCTGATGTTTTATCTAATAAAGTCACTTTAATCTAAAACTCACTAAAGTAACTGCATTTTATATAATATTTCTTTTCTGTTTTGAAAATTAAATTGCACAGTTAGTAAAGTAGCTAATGCTCATGCAAGTGTTCTTTAAAGTACTGAAAAACTATTATCAAGATTAAAGTTTTGGCTTGATTAAAATTTGTGTAAAAAATGGTCATTAATTTTAAGAAAAAGTCTGTAGTTTTCCGAAAACGCTTTCAATTAGATCTTGTTCTTATTGTTCGTTGTTATAGGAAAGATAATGCGTATATAACCGAAAATCTCATTTGTAGTCATTGAAAAATAAATCAAATTCCTTGTGCAAAAAAGAAAAAAAAAAAGAGTTGTGGTAGGTAAAAATTTAGTGAATTCGCACAGGCATCAAAAAAGAGAAAACGCACGGTCCGAACCTGAATACTGGTTTTTGATCTTTGAGTTCAGAGAACTAAATAAGTATCTGTACTGAAGCTAGCGATAAACATTTATATATATACGGCCAATTTTCGGCTCCGGGGGCCAACGCTTTTTCCCTTAGACCAGCTTTCTTAAACTGTGGGTCACGGCTCACAGAGGGGTCCGGGACCTGCTGCAGGGGATCGCAAAAAATTAGCAGTTTTAATATTTCTTTAACTTATTATAATAATTTTACAATTACGAAACTTTTTTACACAATGTACCTGAAAATAGATAAAGATAAGACAAGACAGACAAAGAAAAAAGGAAAACGTTTCAACGCATTCTTTTTATAATAGAAACGTTCATTTTACTTGCTTTGCATGTGACATGGGCTGTCATTTCGTCTGCTACTTATTTAAAATTTTCCCATTGTTGTATGTCTTAAAATTAGAAATTAAAGTTATTGACCAAAAACTGCAATAGTGTATTACAGTACAAGTAAAAAAAATTGCCAGTTTCACACACGCGCGTGTCAGACTTGCATAATGCTTATGGGGTCCCACAAAAGTTTCGCAAATATTATGAGGTCCTGGGAGTCTTGAAAAAAATCTCAGCGATAAAAAGGGATCGCGATTGAAAAACGTTTAAGAAGCCCTGCCTTAGAGAACTGAAGGCTGTTGAAACAAGCTTAAAATGGTATAGATTTTAAGTAAAACTCAAAATGTAGAATTTTGAAATCTCTCATTGTTTTCTAGCAACAATCTAATGCTCTAGTGTATTATCAACCATATCTGATTTATGGTTGATAATTAAGGTTAATTACATTTAACAAACTTCAGAATTTTCTTTTAAATAATGTATTTAATTACAGTATTAATTTATACATTTTTAACTATCCACTGAAATTGTTTTATTAATCAATTTGAATTCATGTTTTCTTCAAAAAGCATATTTATTTAAAAACTATGATAAAACTAGACTTTTGAAACGGAATGTCTGAAACCGACGCGGCAATGGCAAAAAGTTAAATCAACTCGCGCGGTCACCGGCCATATGGAAAATACCGCTTCTGAACACGTTTCTGATGGGTTACCACTTTACGCTTCAACTGCGTTGGTGTAAATTTGGCTTTCAGAAGAAACGTGTTTGATGAGAAAAGTCGTACAAATTGTGGATATTGTCTAGACTGGATAGATCTGACAAGGAATAATGTATTCCTGCTAGACATAAGAAGTTAGTATTAATGTTATTCACACAATTTTATAATATGGAAAAGAGTCAAGAAAATCTAATACAACACTCATGATAGTTTCAAAAAAGAAAAACTGTAAGTACTGAGGTAACAAGATTTTCGCATAACCTATGTCAGATATTATTTTGAGATCTTTAATCAGGAAATTAGGTAGAATATAAAGCTAATACGACAGAGCAATTATTTTTAAACACTTTTTATTTCCCTCCAGTATTAGATAAAATGATTCTGTTACACAGTAAATAGCCATAACTATTTTTACTTTCATTTCACCAAAATTCTTCGATTACATTAACATAATCAAGAACTTAATTTTATAAAATTCGTTAGATTTTTTTAAAATATTTAACAATCGTTTCGAGCCCTTAACTCCTTCTTTAAGCAACTCAAAAGTTAATTTCGTACAAACGAATGTATACATAGTGGTCTTGTTAGAAGTGGTTGATAGTTGCAATATAGTTCATTGATATCTGAGACTTAAGCTGCATAACAGTACCATAATCAAACTGATGTGCGCAAATATCATAGTTTCCTTGTCATATTTATTTCAGGGCCATTTTTGTCCTCTTCTTCTACCTGGGGACCTGTTACACCTGTACAAATACGGGCTGACTTTGGACAATAAATTAACAGATTTGCTAATTTTGAACCACTGCATATTTATTAGTTTTTGCTTTCTTAATCTTTGTTTCTTAAAGAGAAATTGCAAACACTTTGAGTTTTGTACACATTACAATATATGCTAAAAATTCGCCTAGAGTTTAGTCCGTTCAAGGCTTTTAAAAAACCAAACTATGAGAAAAGAAAATAATTTGGATATTAATCCTGTGCAACATCTGGGCAATTTGGCAACTAACAGAAGAGCAAACATGAATAAGAAAAAGATTACTGCGATTCTATTCAGAAAGATGGTTCTGTTGTAAAAGAAAGAAGTGTTAAGAAGTAATTTATTTAAAGCTTTTAACTCATAACCAAATAATAAGCTGTGTCAGCAATATCTATACACACACAGAGTGGGAAGAAGCCTTTCTGGTTGCCAAAATAAGTAATATAAAAAAAGTAAAAAATAAAAATCTGAAAGGTTTCAGATTTTAAATAATGTCCAAAGGAGCGTTTTTTTAACATTTTGTCCGTTACCTTTATTTATTAAATATCACGTTCTTCGCACTTAAACCATAAAATTCAGTTCAAGAGCAATATCGGAAATAGTTTTAAATTTAGCGGTACTAATCTGTTTTGAGGGCCGTAAAAAAATTGCAGCGAAAATGTATGCGCAAAAGCGCCAAATCTAGCAAACGCGCCCATTTAACAGCTCGCCAAATCTAGCGTACGCGCTGATTTCAGATTGCGTAAGTTTATACAGTTCTATATTTCTTAACACGCCATTGAAATACTAGTTTAATTTTTAAATACTTTTTTTATTTTAAATCCTTTCTTGATATCCTATGGATTTAGCAATTGCCCATGACGAAAAGTCGGCAATAGAATTTTGGTTAAAGTGCAGAATCATCCACTGCTTGACGCGTTTTTAAGAACTGTACATACTCGATATCCACGTGCACATCGACCTATTTTTGACTTAAAAAAATCCTAGAATTGCACAAAAATGGCACTGCGCACACCCTGGACTTTATCTATGTACATATCGACCTGTTTTCACTTAAAAAGTAAAAGAAAATTGACAAAAATCTAATTGTTTTTTTACCCTTGTAAAAAGCGGCGAACAAATAAGTGAGCGATTCTGCACTTTAGTGAGAATATTTTCAAAAATGCATCATTCATTATAGAAAATTACGTTTGAACAACCAACGAGATGAAATTATGCTTTAGCGATAAGTCGGTAGCGAAATAGCGATGCAGGCATCCATTCAGTTATGTTTAGCAATTTTTATATAAATTATAATAATCATCTGAAATAGTTATTTACTCTTATGCTTCCCTTCAGTCATGTTTATCCTTTTCCATATAAATTATAAAAATAAAAATGTATTATATGAAATTAACCTTTCATCTAAATTAAAACATCAATCTTAGATAGTTATTTACTACTATACTTCCTTTCTTGCCGCAATTATTAGGGTTGAATCAATTATTTTTAGCAGCATTGGCATCAACAATAGTTTATCGATTTTTTACGGCCCTCGAAACCGAATAGTACCAATTTAGCATATCTTTAGAATTTCCGATACGCTGTCTA